CGTAATATAGCTTTTCTGTGGTTTACCATCCACAGAGTAGTGAGTACCTTATATAGCTAGAAATAGGTCTTGTGAAAGTCCATAAATTATCGAGAGAATATAAGTAAGGATACTAGGTAGTTAGACAAACCAAAAGAAATCGCATTTTATAAACCCTTTCACAAGGTTTATCATTCATAAAGCTTTTCAGGAAAACTATATGACGTTTGAAATGCATCATTATTATACAAATATATCCAAAAAAGATAAGCTCTTTACGTGAAATAAGTAAGCCCTTAATAAGTTGTAAAATCATTAAAATTGTGAACTATACAGTGCTTACTTACGTGGTGTCCAGGAGCTCGTTGACAGAACTGCATGTTGACAACAAACAACAACACATTAAATACATTGCTCAGTGCATACAAAAGCCCCATTAGTGTTATGTAGACAGCGTGGATTTGCGTTGCAAGTGTATGTTTTCTTCAAGTCAGAATTAAACATAGGGTATACTTAAACGTATGTTAAGGAAAAACAAAAACATTTGAAATTCGCTGTATCTTACATATTATACACATTTAACTGAATCTTTATTCCAAAGATCTACGTCAGCTATTGCTCAATTTCATAAAGAATTAAGAAAACACAATATCAAAGTTGTCATTAAGTGTGTAAAACAAACGTTATATCAAGTGTAACAACTCATTATTATAAGTTTTTTTTATCTGTTTCTTTAACTGCGCCATTCTAGAATTCTCATGTAAATGACAATAAGCATAAGCATAAAGCTATGTATTATACTGAGAGACTGGTGCTTGAAAAAGGTTGGGAAAACCTGTTATTACAAGTCACCAGTCCCTCTTGAACATAGTGGCAAAAAGTATTGCTAATACAAGTTTTAAAAACGAACGAACAATAAATAATTTATAAAAATATATATAAAAAAAAAATATATATATAAATAAAATAGATAGAAAAAAGTTAAAGCATTTGTGAGTGTGTGTGTGTGTCAGTGTACGGGTCAGTGTGAGTGTGTGTGCGTGTGCGAGTGAGCTGAATTGAGAGTTGAGACTAGTGTGGGCGAGAAAAACGTTCCATTTATTAAATTAAATTAGGGGTCGTAATAGATTTTCTGTGCTTTGGTAATCTAGCGATTTGAGATATTTAGTTACTACTTTTTTACAATTGTATTTTGTGAGATGATAAATTTGAAGGTCTTTGTTAAGTTTATTGTATAAATGGGTACCTAGAAAGCAATACGAACTATGGGAAAGAGCTGTTTTGAAAAGTTGAGGACGGCATACGGAATTCTTTCTACGCCTTCCATCTACAAGTTTATGATCGTATTCTATCTCAGAATGCTTTGTAAGAATAGTGTACAGGATGAAAGTTTGTCTCACGGATAATACATCCCAATCCTTATATAAGTGAGCTGTGGGAAAGCGAAAGGGGAGTCCTGCACCTACTTTCAAGATAGCACGATGAGCTCTCTCAACCTCAATGAGGTATGTTTTGGCAGCACCTCCCCACTAGGGTATACAATACACAACCAAAGAATGACATAAGGCATAGAATACCATCCTAAGGACGCTGCGATCAGCAATGTGCTTGAGATTCTTGAAGACAAAAAATAAGTTTACGTAATTTTGATACCAGGGATTCGACGTGCCTGCTAAAATTTAATTTTTGGTCGATGACGACACCAAGCTATTTGAAGTGGTCAGTCCTTTGAAGATTAGGACAAATGATCTGGGAGATATTGCAGTTACAGTTTGGTACATGAGCGTATAAGGCCAGCGAAGGAGGTGGAAGTTGATTTGATCTCCTGGCAAAAGTCATAAATTTAGTTTTAGATACATTTAGCGTTAAGATATTGTGATGAAGCCATTTGGATACTGTTTGAAAGCCAATCTGAGCTAGACGAAATACCTCATTCCAGTTGTCTCCACTGAAGAAAAGCGCGGTATCGTCAGCAAAGGTGAAGATTTTGCCCTGCTGTAAGTTAAGCTGGCAGAGGCCATTTATGTAGATTAAAAATAGGGTAGGACCGAGGATGCTGCCTTGAGGCACGCCAAACTTAACCTCACACTCATCACTAACATGGTTTTCGACCTTGACTGTGTTTTCTATTACTAAGATAGTTTGTTAGCAGTTTTAAAGGTAAACCACGAACGCCAAGTATTATTTATTTTTTAATGAAAAAGCTTGTTGTGTTGGAAAGTCATAATATGTCACATCGACCGAATTAATGGGTTTCCCTCTCGCGAGGCACAGCTAGTTTTAAAACACTTATAGGATATGAAACTATTATCTTACCATGCAAGCTGCATCATGGACTTTTCCAAATTTTGGTCGCACGAAAGGTGTGCTTTGTCTCCACAGAAATATTTGAAATGCAAACGGGACCAGGTCCTCACTATTAGTCTCATCTTCAGACATGTCTTTGACCCTCACGCTAACCCTTTAATAATAAAACATAGTGTAATATAAAACCACTCCTTTTTTAATGCAGAACACAATTCACTTAAACCCACATTAAACTTTAGTCGTAAAACTATAGCGAAATTACTGACTTTACGAGTTAGCTACAGTTAAGTAATGTACGCTCTGTATTTGGTACTAAAACTACGAAGATGTTCAATTAAATTATTTTTAATTTAAAACCATAATGAAAACAAAGCCTTAATATACTTTTTAAATAAAAATTATGAATTTATAGGTATGATATGTTTTTTGACTTTATCACATAATAAAGAATTAACTAATAATAATTAAAACTTACGGCGCATTATTGAAATATCAAACTTAATATATTTAGCACATATAGATCAATAGTGTTTATATTGCTCTAAAATTTAAACAATTCTCGACGAGTGTGCCCTCGGAGAAGGTTTTGCTGAATGAGAGCAAAACCTCCATGGCGCATTCGCAGTTTACTCTTTCTTAGGGCTGGCGACAGTGCCTTAATAATAACACATCTTTTTGTTACGATTATATCTTAAACGACACTATAGAACAATATAAATATTCCGGATGTATTACGCTTAATATTCATATATGAGACTTAGGGATATCAGATTTTCAAATTACTCTGAATATTGTAAAAGTATAATTACTCAAAATTATCGGTTTAATTAAAGTGCCTTTACGATGTATATTAAAAACTTCTTATATCAGCCCTAAAATAGGATTAAATCGATCGCTGCGCCGTAACCTGCGAAGCTGCAGCCTCTCGTTGCTATGGTGACGGCTATTTGGTTCAGTTAGCTGACGACTCAGCGAAATCTCCAGAGCTATTGTTTCTGTTGGAATTGTGAAGTACCTTGAAGCAACACTTTACAATGTGACATTTTAAAACCTTATAGTCTTTACGCAACTTCGGAAGCCATTTTCATATTCTATTTAAAATATTAGTCATATTATTCGGTTTCTTTTCCATAAAATCAATGATTCGTTACAAACATTCGTTTGTTTGTTTGTTCATATGTTAACATTAACTTAAAAAAAAAGCAAGAGAAGTATGATTAAGAAGATGTTGTTTGTTTTTTAATAGAGCATATCGACATATGAGAGAGAGATCGGATATATTATTATTATTACTAATCTTAAATTTGACATGGAACTCAGCCACATACTACTTTGTTCACAATTCAATAATCATTAAAGTACAAGAAATATTTTATATTGTGTCCGATAAGATAAGTTACAAATTAACGTGAGTGAGTAAAATTAAATATATGCGTACTGTCGCGAACAATTTACTTTATAAATAGAGTCGGGTGTGGCGTCAATAAACATTTCCTACTTTATAGATTGCTTCCCACTAAAAGAATTACGACTCACCCATAACACTGTTTACCTACGTTTAGTTTATAATAATGAGGTCATAGAAGTGAATTAATTTAAACGAAATTATTACTATTACTACCTATTTGTTTATTTTATGCTCAAACAGAGATTAGACAGATTATGAGGAACAAGTAACAAAACTGTCAACTAACCAGAACTTTTAAGTGAAAACTAGCTTTTGACATCAATCACGGACTATGCCAAAATAAGATCGATTAAATTACGAAATATGAACTCAAAACACATAGTAATCGGAAAAGAAGTAATTAATTAAATTAAACCAAAATGCGCAGTCAAAATCCCAATTACTTGGTTTCGACATCCGATGGAGTTAACTTAAATTGAAATCCATATTCTGAAGTCGATATTATTAGATAAAATAGATAAATTTACTATAAAGCGTCGCGTGGACTGAACGTTCTAAGAAACAAATAAACTAAAAATTTTATAGAATATTAAGTAAGTATTAAAATTATAGTTTCAAAATCTTTTACATTTATTACGTATTAGCCAATGCGCATTCTTCCCTAATATCTAAATAACATTGAGTACAATCGAGAAGCATTCAAAAATAGTTCGAGGTTGAATATTATTGGGTTTGGCTGGGCGTTACCAAACTCGTCTGAAATTATGAAATAAAAATAACAAATATCAAAGTCGAAAATTTTTTGAAACTACATACAAAAGGACAAATATAAAAGGAAAAACGATTGAAAATGTTACGTATAGAATCCCACAACTAATGTGATTTTCGTACCTTTGACTTTATGATACATATTTGGAAATAATAAACTAAAAATAAAACTCAACCATAACGTACAAGTTATAGAATTTGACATGTACTTGAGTCATAAGTCTCGAGTCCGAATCTTACCCTGAATTTAAAACAGTCTCTTATGTAAAAACTTAAATAAAACATATTTATCAAAAGTAATGAAAGCCGTGAGTACGAAAAAACGTAACGGACAGCTGTAGGTGCTTTCTTACAAAAATCATCATATTCACTGCCCCACCCGAGATTGAACCCTAATGATATGAACATGCCAACCACCTGACAAAATAAGAAGTATTTAATATGAAACCTCTTTTCCAGCTGCACATTAAGAAATGACAATGTCATAGTTTGTCACTGTTCACTCACATTTCTTGTATAAAACCTACAATATATTAAAATGACAAATAAGGATGGTAAGAATATTAATTTAAATCCTAGGGTATTAGGGCAAACCAATCTGCGTATTTTGCTGATATTTTTAATAGATTTACTATATGATCATAGGTTTAGAATTAATGTCACATAAGCCATTGACGCCTGGTATGTATAAACTGGTTCCCCGATAACTAAACTCTGTGACCACTAAAAAGATTAACAGTTTTCGATTTTTTTTGGTCTAGATGAGATCCAACAATGCGACCCTCGGGCTGCCACCGTGATGGCTATACATCTGGTGCAACAGGTGCTAGATGAAGCCTATATCATTGCTAATGCAGCTCATGATTCTGGTAACTGGAAAACATATTATAGGATATAAAAACCACAAAATAATACTTTCATTGGATCATTAAGTTTCGCTTACATCGTAGTTTCTTGGCATGTTTTTCTCAAGCCAAAACTAACACCATTCTTTATTAAAGTCCTATAAGTTGTACAGACAGGTGGTGAAAAATAATAAATGGCGCATCGTTTGCTGGTGGTTCTGATGTCTTACATCTGACTTATTTTTTTAAAAGCCGAGTCTCATCTGATGTTAAATGATGGCACACTCCATGCCAGATTGCTCGCGACTGCGTTGCCGGTCGTTTAAGAATTGATACGCTCTTGTAACGTGTAATTTCTGCCTCGACGTCCGATGATGAAACTAATGCATCTATTCCATTACAGTTCTTATTATCTACTAGAACTTCCTAACCTAACCTAACCTAACCTAACCTCGTATGTAAATTTTAGGCGAACCATGGCAATACGTATCGGGTCTAACAAAATTAAGACGATGCACTATTGATGAAACAAACGAAGAAGATAAAGCTTTTCCAATGTTAGCTGTCAACATATATACTGACAGTAAATTATATATAACACCAAGTAAGGTTGTAACTTCGACACCACAAAAGGCAACAGGTACTAATATTTATATAGATGGTCCTTAGCTGGTAGCACTTTGCGAATACCCCGTATGCTCTCCGTAAATACGGCTATCGTAGTATACTCTATTGATATGTGGATTATCAGATATTTTGTATTTGGTATTCCTGCATATCTGTTTCTTTATAAAAATGCGTAAAGCGTAAGCGTGTTTTGTCTTCAAGTGCCTTAAAAAACTGTTTCTAACAAAACTACAATTATTTTTTGACCTTTTATTTTTAATGTCACTGTCATATTTATATAATTAATCAGTGGAATTTTAACCCCAAATATCCAGTAAGTCTCTGATTTGTTTATTTTAGGCATTTCTGTGAGTCCAAATGACCACACTTTGATTGGACAAGGCGATGAAGAATTCATCGTAAGTTTGATTCCACATCTAAATACTTTATGAAATCTATTTAGGAGATTTAATGAAGATGAGAATTGAGTTTTATTGTGGTATAACGATTTTCAATGCCGTAATATCCAACATATTTCTTTACACTGTAGTTCTAATTCTGGCGAATCAGAATTAAACTAAACTAGCCAACTTCTATTAACAGTGCGAGAAATCTCTACACGTTGATCTAAATAGTTTTTAACAAGAGCATTTACCTAATCATCAGTAATATTACATATAACCTCTGGCTTACTACTGTACTTACATACAACTTTAAAATAACTGTAACCCAATGTGCAAATATTTTTGTTGCCTTGCTATTCTGTAACTCACTTTTCGAACTTTGGCATTCTGATAAACAATAAATCAGATGCCAAATCGTAAAATGACTGCTTTACGACTGATTTGAGCGTTCGAAAAGTGAGTTACAGAATCGCAAGGCAGAGCAAAAAGGGCTTTGTTTTTAGAAGAAGAAATTTGTTTAATAGCATCTTATTCCTAAAACAGGGTGACACAGACGAATCGAAGTCTACATCCATGTTCATCACGCACCTTTTTGATATGAGTGACGTGGAACGAGACATGAGCTTTAATGAACCAGCATTGGCCCAAAACGAACCAAACAATCTAATTATGATTGCTATGAAAAAAATTATGGACTCATTCGTAGACTCTGCTATGAATTCGGCATTTGGTAATGAAAATCGTGATACTGATATAAAGGAATCTTCAGATACGATTACGTCCAGCTATTCATTTCTTGACGACGCAACTCATGAAGAAATAATGCAGAATACAATTCGTCATGATGAAACATATTCGAAGGTTCGGAAGAAGAACATACTAGAATATTTGCCCTTTCCTATTTAAACTAGAGTGAAGCCAGGAAGTTGTATTTATGATGTATCTTTGAAAGCAATGTCTGTGTCGTAAAAAATACAATAAAGTCATCAATGCACTGAAATAGACCATCTTAGTTAGAAAACATTCCATTATTATTCGCGACTATTATTATTTTCTCATCTTTTAATAATAATAATCAATTTATATCAAAGTTTTTTTAAATCACATATGAAAATTGTTAATTATAGATTTTTTCACATTAGTATATAAAAAAAATTGAATTGAATTTGTTTATTTGATTATGATATGATTAATTATAATTCTTAAAAATTTTAAAAATTATGATATGATACATATATATTCTCATCATAATAAGGTGGATACCTCCTAGTGGATTTTCATATAAAAATAATCCATTGCGGAATATTTTATTTTTATTTGTTTTGGTATTAGCATTTTGTAGTGCTTAACGATTGTATATTTCTTTGACAGATGCCAGATGTTGATGCGACAATAAATAAACAAGATTTTGCTCGATACGAAAAGGCTTTTTTGACTTTAAATCGTACGTAAACTCCATTTTTAATTATACTCATAAACACATACATTAGAACTAGAAAAAAATTCCACAAAAGACTATTAATACAATTTTACACAGCCTGTGTGTACCTGTATTTCTTAAATTCATTTTAATAAATATAATTTCAGGTGATTTTGAACAATACTCGGATGATGACGAGGAACCAGTTCTACAGGATCCCAAAGGACTTAATTTACAAGAAATAGAACTTATGACTAGGGATTCCTCAAAGGACACCTCACCAGTAAAAGAAGTGGTATATTCTTAATACTCTCTAAACTCCAGTATAGGGGTAAATAATTTATTTTATATTTAGTGTTTATTTCATATTTTACCTGTTTAAGGTTCAAGTTTATGTTATTGCTTGATTTTAATTTTGCTAATATACTTTTAACGTGTTCTAAATGGTTATCATATTTTACAAGCTTAGTTTTAGTGCACTATGCTCCGTCTACTTTGTTTCGAACAGAAAGCGTATTAGTTCTAAGACTGACGACAATTAATGTTATGTATTATTGTCCTTTAATCAACTTTAGTTTTTTAACAAATTTTCTAGAAAAATAAAGAATTTGCTGCAGTTTCGGGTGTCTCCAGCTCAGCCCTTGGGTCTAAAAAGAGTAGCATTGTCCGTCGCTGTAAGACTCAGGGTGCGAGACTCATGGCTTGTCTGAGAAGTTGGTGGTGGAGACGTAAGATACCTGGCAAGCGCAGGGTAAATAATTTAAGATTTTATTAATCATTCTGTTGTAAGCTCAAAAACCACGATTATTTAGCAGTCTAAAATAAAAGAACTTATCGTATCTGTTAAACCAGGAATACGTAACTAAATGATCTAAAGCTATATGTGATATTATGAGCCTGTAATTCAATTAAACCCATCATATTCAAATACTTCAAATGTTAAAAATATATTTCTTAGATAATTGCTCCTATATTGTTGTAAAAATAAAATATTTCTTAGGAATCTCGTGTTTCTGATTCGCGTCGAGGTGTTTGTCCTCGGTCACCTGAGGCGAGGCGTAGAGCTGCCAGTTTGTTGGATGAGAGACAGCTGCGGAGCCCTACTCCAACTAGATCGGTCATCTGGAAGTTCAATACCATCAATGAAGCTCTAGTACATTCTACGCAATGGAAGGAATTTAATTCCGACATGAAACCTAATGATGACTAATCATATACAAAACCTAAGTTTTGTCTATGTTATCTGTCGCAAATATATGTTTTAGTTGATTACTAGCCTTTTAAACCCGTTACGTATAACCTCCTCACAACTTTAACTAATATAAACTAGGTCTAACTAAAGAATAGCGTTAGTCAAATACCTATTTAGATAGCTATTAGTTGCGCACTTTTATAAGAAACTTGTCCCAAACATTAATAAGGTATGAGTGGTTCGCACCTTTTAACGATATATATCTCTAGGTATGACATGGATACGATCGAAATAGTTTAACGTAAATGTAAATTTACCATTGGGATTCGCTTAGCTTTAGGTGTGATGTGTAGTGTGAAAACTGTTTTCATCTCGCTCCAACTGTATAAAGCCGTACGTGTCTGAGAATACCGTGGGCATGGTTCATCTCCACCGAAAATAGCACAATCGCCGACTCCTGGGCTAAATCTCAAATATCCAGACGTGAGCGCCATCTGAGCCAGTTAAAACAGTCAGGCGAAAAGTTGCCGAGCTCCACTTCTTGTCTGAACGTCAGCCAGTGAAGACCGGGAGGGAACCATCTAACACAAAATGGTGAGTCAACCAGTGAATAGTGACATGGAGTTCAGTGGTATGGACTGACAACGCATAGTGCACAATGTGATTATTCCGCTGACCGGAAATGCGTGTGCGTCGGCAAGTGATGTGCGAACAGCAAGGCATTTGTGATAAGATTAAGATTACACATTGTGTATTACACAATTTTATCCACATCAACACATTTTGAAACGACAGTAACGAAAATCATTTGGTTATTTTCAGAGCGACCTCAGCAAAAACGACATCGAAAGTGAGTAATAATTTTATTACGAATAAAAAAAGCACATTAACCTATTTGTAATAATAACTTGCATGGAACTTAAATATTATGTTCTAATGAATAAATTTACTAATGTAAATCATACTTGGTATTTGATTAACAAGTTAATAGGGCTACAGTTTCTCATAAAAGGCTACCGGGTTCGATTTGTGACGTGATACAATGCGCGCGCGCTGCGTTCCAAAATTATCTTCTTGCGTCACGTGATCTAACTATACCGCCCGCCCAAACAGAGAAACTCAACTCGGATTTCAGATCGCCCGAGCTCCATTTTTTGGCATAAGCACACATTGGACGATAACAAAATAGTTTATTGTTCCGGTTATACATATACTGGTGTGTTATGTATTTAAATAAATATTATATCAATATCAAGGTCAACTATCAGCTGCTGCAGGTGTCTGAGATCGAAATTACGTTGAACATTTAATAATAATCTTGAGGTCTTCCAATTAAATTTTACTTCATTAAAAATATGTGATTTTAAAGCTATAATAAATCTTAGATATCAAACGTATGGTATGTATGGAATTAGGGCACACAATCGTGTTTATAATTAGACAGTGACTCAGAACAAATCAAAGGCGGGCTGAAAGAAAAGTCGCTTTGCCTTAATGCTACGATTTGGAAATAACATTTCTAGAAGCTTTAACGAGTTTTATATTTAAATCAAAATACTTAATATTAACTAATTTAGAGAAATGATGAATGGGATTGTTTAATAGGGGCATCTTTCGCCTTCTCCATCTACGACTTCGATGGCAGCGGCAAAGTTGATGCCACCAACCTGGGTGATGTCTTGAGGGCGCTCAACTCAAACCCCACACTGGCTACGGTCGAGAAACTCGGCGGTACAAAGAAGAAGGGCGAGAAGATGCTTACGGTGGGTTTTTTTCAATAAAATATAAAGATTTACTATCTTCAAACTAACCTCTAAATGTCTTGATAACGATAAGCCAAAAATCTGTAGTAGATGGTAGGAAACTTAAAAAATTCAAAATGTAGATCTGACTTGAGCTATGTGCCGAGTTTTATGCTTCCTCAGATTTTCAGAATAGATTTTTTTTTAAAAAGGATGTTTCGAATTTTATTTGGTTTTAAAGGACTTTATCTCATTACAACATTAAATGGTTGTACATTTTAAATCATATGTATATTGACGGAATTATTTCAGGTTGAAGAGTTCCTTCCCATCTACGCCCAGTGCAAGAAAGACAAAGACCAGGGCGTCTATGAAGACTTCTTAGAATGTCTTAAATTGTACGACAAGAACGAGAACGGTTTAATGCTTGGCGCTGAACTTACACACACACTCCTGGCTTTAGGTTGGTACTCTTATATTAGTGAAGAGTATTATTTAGCAGAAATGGGGTTCACAGTGGCGCAATTGCGCTTCCAAAACTTCGTAGCGCTGAGCGCATGAGTCATCCATCACTTTGACAATCTTCTTTCGTAAACACTACAATAAAAATAGGTTATTTTCTTCTATATTAGCGATACGGTTTTGCGGAAAGCATATATAAATCGTAATCGATATTTCCTGTTGGATAAAAATAAATTATAACAGTACGTTTTGACATCTCAATTTGACACTTCGATTGGAAATTAAATTACCGGAAGTAGAAACTTTAATTATTGAAGTCAACCGCGCCAGAATAGAATCATAATCGCTTCGAGATTGTGGAATTATTTACCAAAAAGTGGCAAATAAGTAAGGAAAAATGATGATTGGTCTGGCTGCAATGGTCTTTTCATACATAACTTCTACAGGTGAGAAGCTGAGTGATGATGAAGTAGCGGAAGTCGTAAAGGACTGCATGGATCCCGAAGACGACGACGGCATGATCCCATATGCGTGTAAGTATATTAGAATGTTTATTGTTCTAAATTCATGAATTGAATATTTGTAGATACAAAGTAGTTCGAAAAACGTTAACATAGATTGTGTTTATGATATTTTATTCACTTTTGTCCTTTTGAGTCTCATAGAACTGAGTACTCTGTTGTGATTTTTTATAATTTACGTAGTCACAGAAAATATACAATTTAAACTTAATTCTTAGTTTGACAAATAAACGAAATTATTGTACATATATTTATAAATATACTTTGAATTGTATTATAATTTAGAGTAATTTTTTTATAGAATTTATTATTGCTTAGTATGGTATCTTTAGATTATAAATAAGTTGAACATAATTGCACATTGTTTTTGAACAAATGAGCGGTACTTCCGGAAATGAATTTCATGTTATGTCCATCAAAGACATACAACATAATTTTTGTTATATAGTAAAAACCTCCTTAATAATAAGTAATTTAAGGTTGACATTACAATCCCCAAGAATTCTATTTAAAATACGTATATATTCATTCTTATCAATCATTCATTGGTTATAAGCTTACACTTTTGTCTATCTGGAAGTACTGTTTCAAAAGCATCACTGAGACAGATGCGTTTGTGTGTTCATGTGTTGTCCCTTTCCAGCATTCCTGAAAAAGGTGATGGCGTAAAGGAAGTACCTGCCGTCATTATCTTTAGTTATAAGATCGTAAGTCAACCGAAAATGTACGCTTCAAGCAAACGCTTTGTGTATTAAGCTTTTAAAAGTTACCAGCTTCCTTAAAGAAGAAATAAAATATTTATTTGCGTGTACAAACATGCTAAGAGCTTTACCTTTCCAACTATTATATTATTTAAGTAATTGGAGACTTAGAACTCTTAAGGCATTTTGATATCTTATTCGCTATATATTTGCAAAGGCTTTTCTGACTAGGAATTTGCTTGGTGTCTTAAGTATGGGCATTTTCCCCAACGTGCAGCTTTCAATGTTGTGACCAGCGCCTAAAGAGGTTTTTTGTTTTCGATGTCATCACGCTTTACTATAGAGTGGCCGTAGGTTGTCGCGTTTATTTAAAGTAATTTTACAATATATTAAAACATTAGATGGAACAATAATTAAAAATATTATTAATAATGTTTGAAGTTGAGAATAGTCTCAATAATAGTCTCTTTTTCTTCTTCGTTTTCTTCTCTTAACTATCACAAGATTGTTTTCCAGTTATTAGAAAAGCAGAAGTCGTTTTAGTTTTTTCACTAAATATTCGCGATCTTTTTCCAACCACGTGCCGAGAGTACTACGAAAATCAACTATAGTCACTCTATAGGATCAACACCTCTTCGTGTGCTAATTGTATGTATCTATTTCACAGCTTTCCTTAAAAAAATGGTTGAAGGCTGGCCACCAAAGGGTACGGAGGCTGCGCCGGCAGCCGCAGAGGCGCCCGCGCAAGGCTAATCACCACACCATCCGCGTCAGCCCCCGCAACACCAACAAGCCATTCAGAACTAAAACATCTTGTACAATATCTTTATGTACATATATAATATTAAATGCCAAAGAACTGTAAACGCGCATTGTACGTTTTTAAATTAACTATTTATTAAGTTTATAATTACAAAAATAAAAAACAAAAACCATAATTTTTTATAATAAAACATTAAAGCGTTCCATCTTGTATGAATGTTCGTTCATTTTGTTTATTATGAGTGTTTAATTTTCTACGTTTTAGATAAAAATTAAAATATAAAAATTTGTTCACCTTTTTAGTTATGAGTATTTGATTAATATTTTTTAATTAAATAAGATAAAAGTAAAACCTTTTATACAAACTTTGTTTATGCAACGAACGAACAGAAATAAGGCTAGGAGAGGAAATCTAAAAACCTTTAGCATATATGAACAAAAGCCTACAAAACTAGAACAAGAACGTAGAACATAAGTAGAAATAGTACAACAACCCGCACCCCTATTTTATGTACTAAAAGTACATAACAGTACGTAAATATATGTTTAATACAACATTAGGTTTGATTTCAAAAAAAAGGTTAGGTAGCCCTTTAATATATGTATATATATACATATATAATTCTACTGTACGTATGTTTGTCAATGAACTCCTCTTAAACGGCTGGACTGATTTGAATGAATTTTTTTGTTGTTTTTGTGTTGTTTAGATTCACTAATCTAAAATCAGGCCGGCAGATGGCGCTGCTTAGTACTTTCATGCTTTGTTTAATATCCTAATCGCTTGAAATATCATGCAGGACAACGTCTTTCGGGTCCGCTAGTATTACTATACGAATTAATCCGTCTCCATATTTCTGACAAATCCAGCAAGCGTATCTTATCACGACTTAACGCGATTAGATAAAGTACCAACAATTATATTTGAAACAAAAGAACTCCGTATATCCTAACAAAGAACAAATATTTGAAGGTATAAAAATGGCGCGGAATATGTTTTGGCGGCATCAATATTGTTTTCGGATGGCATCGCCTATGGTGGGGAGATTTCGGCATCTGCGCAGATCCCTATTGTGAAGCTGTTCGGGATGCCAACAACACAAATTCTGCACTTTTTCGTCTTGAATTTGTAGCCATTGTTTCACGGAAAATAATGTAGAACATCAAATATTGACGTAGGACACTTACTCATATGATGAGAATATTTGAGAAACACAACATATTACTATAATTTTAGAAGTTTAGATTCTCAATTTTCGCTGGTCGCAGGCCTGTGTTACTGAAAGTTGAAATGAATGCTGAATATACTATCTGGAAGATATCAAACAATTCTTAAAGTTTAGTGACTTAGTTTTAAATGAAGATTTGATGTCGACCTTTGGACATTTGAGATGAACCACAAACATAACACTTCCAAAACGGTTTACAAATTTCCTCGGTATCTTCAAAAAATTCTACTATAATTATACACATCAGTAAAAAAATCTACTATAATTAGCTTTCCCGTTGAGGTTTTGTCGAGGATAGAATATTAAAAGGTAGAAGGAATTTATATACCTTAAGCCATAATGTGGTAATTCCTATCAAAGTACTGGCAACACTGTTTTTCACGTCTCAGGCTTCCCGCGTAAGCAGCGCGCGTCGCACAGTATTCAAATGTTATTTGCAAGTGTCGAATGCCAATCGTGTTACCTTGTGTGCTAGTTTCTGAGTGATTAGTGATAGTGTTTGTAAAGGGACCTCCATAAATATACCAGTAAGTACATTGAGATAATATATAAATAAAACATTTTATCAAAGAGACATTTCATAATTAATTAGATTTTACATACGTAAATAAGTATTGTAATTAATATATATTTTATCGTAACTTCATTTCAATTGTATATTTCACTATCGAATGCTGTTTTTTTTTGCAAATTTTCACTGATAAGGTAACGTTTAAGTATATTAATATAAATGTTGTCGGTCTTTGGTATATAAAGGAAATGATAAGTCTTGGCTCTCTGTACATTTACTTGTCATAATTTAAAACACTTCGGGTATTCGAATCGAAGGAAGTCTTACCTTAATTAAATGCATACAATTAATAACTACTGTCGCAAACGGACAGGAATAATATTATGATATTTAAATAAATTTTAATAATTTTCAGGTGATAAGTGAAAAACATGGCACAAGTGAACGAGTCGCCGGCTATCAACAGCAAAGAGGATAAACATAATACAGGTATTGTTATATTTTTCGCAATATTTCTGATAATTATCAAGACCAATGGCAAAAATACTTTCACGTTTGTTCCTTACAGCCGAGCATACATGGAGTTGCGTGATCCTCTAAAGGGATTAAATCCATACCACGTTTTAGATAATTAAAACTTTTTACGTAATCTACGTCGATTTTTGACATGTTTCTTAGGGATGCTGTTTTCCTTACGTTTTCCACCACCGTTTTGCTATTTACATTAAAATACATAACCAAAACAATACGTTATTTTCAGCGTTTGTCTTATCATTTATGTAATCTCGTATATTTGTTTCTTATCTATGTATATTATGAAATAGTTCCTGTGTGCATCATTAGACTATCTACAGACAAAAGCAGTGTTTTCCATAAATGTTTGAATAAATAAGGATGTCGAATGTTCTCGAGTTCTATGGTGTTTAAGACACGGAAATTAAAAACAGTTTTAATTTGTGTGAAGCAAGGCGTTTTGAGTTTTCCCATTTACTAACTATGTACATATTTTGTCAAATTAGATTTAAGATTAAATTTTTTATCGTAATTAGGAACGCGTCTCAATCTAGTTTGAAAATCATTAAAAAAATTACGAATTTACGTGCATTGGGTTATATTTAGTATTTAGTATTTTCAAATATTGATATAATCTTTTGAAATATATAGGTATGTGCCCGAATCCATATAAACAAGTGAAAACCATGACTATAATATAACATATGAAGAAACTTTTTATCGCCGTAGTCAGAACGGGACTTCATTATAATATTGTCGTTAATCAGTTTTTGTTACCTCGTCTGACAGAGTTTACTAAGATCTTTGGTAAGATTATGTATTTATGTAAACTTATACACTGCCTCAACAACAACGAAGAGTTTGTATACCATCTCTGACTTGAAGACACGGAATTGATCGTTATATGTGGATTTTTTAAATATTATGTAAATAAATATGGGGACTCAGGAATCGTTCTAATAGTATAAATAATTTTTTAGTTGATTGACATAAACATACAACAATACATATCGTTCCTCATTTTAATATTCGTATAGAAATAACCAATTATTAAATAGATTTGTTTCCTTTATTAAAAACTTATTATCTATATAATGCACTACAAAACTTTGTTTTTTTTGACATAGTTATTTTAGTAATGTTTTTTAAATTTAAAGTCATGAACCTAAGTCATGAACGCAATTTTGTCGTTCTTATAACTGTGATTATAAAAATGCTCCAATAAGAATAAATCCAATGTATGTATGCATACACCTATAATATCAAGTTTTCTTTGTTAAAAAGCAAAGGGTGCTACAACTCATCCCCTCGGGCGATAATGTGAGGGGAGAAAACCGGCCCAAATGGTGTCTGCAAAATTTCTAAAATTTACCACAAAGGTACGAGTTCTGGTACAGTAACATATAGAAATATAGGTGTCGATAAAATATAGAAAACATATAAATAATACAAACACTTTACAATATATATTAAGAATGCCAAACTTTTATTAAGAAAATAAAATATTAAATTTATGTTTCGAAGGAAATTGCAATAAATTTTAATACATAGAAAATTAAAACTAATTTAAAGTTTGGTCCCTGTGCCTGTGTAAAAAAATAATTAAAAAGATAAGAATAATAAAATATAATGTCATAGATAAATGATAAAAGGTTTAAATATAGTATTTCAAACAGGTCACTATCTCCCGTATGGTCTAGTGGCTAGGATACCTGGCTTTCACCCAGGAGGCTCGGGTTCGATTCCCGGTACGGGAATAACCTTTTTTGCTTTTTTTAATCTGATGAAATCTTTTATCTTGCAATACGATAGATTATACGTACGACAAAAATTTATTATTTTGCAGAATTTTTTATCGTGTAGTTTTGTATTTTTATCGTGTATTTTTGAATTTTTTATTTTGTATCCTATGTTGCGTTTTCAAACAAAAATCAAAACATCGACGCAGAGGCA